CCCTTCCCTTCCCTCCCCTCCCCTCCCCCCCTCCCCTTCTCTTCATGTCATTGCACAGCCCTTGAGCATGAACTTTGTAAGTGATGACTCGTCACTCATTTCAGAATGTTAGAGATTAAACATCCCTGCTAGGGGATAGACACGTTGTGCTCCATTGTTCTCCTCTCTTTCTCTAGAGCCTTCCCCCGGCACTATGAAAATAATCATGAGTCTACCAGGGCCTGGGGTTATTATGTAGACCGTTTGGGCAAAAGAGAGTTGCTCTGGGCTGTCAGAAACCTGTGCTAATGAATACTTCAGAAGGGGACGAGGAAGAGCAGCGGTAGGAAGCTGCTGACAATTCTAGGTTCATGTTGATGTGCAACAGGACAAACCTGGGCACAGGTCAGCGTGTGTGTGTGTGTGTGTGTGTGTGTGTGTGTGTGTGTGTATATGTGTGTGTGTGTGTGTGTGTGTGTGTGTGTTCATCCCATTTGAAAAGTTCCTTCATGCACCCAGCTGTTCAGTTAAATAAACTAAACGAAGCTCCCAAGTGAAGCCATGTACGAGAGACGAGTACACACACGTTCTGGTCAGCTTTGCCTCTTTGTGTATATGGTTCTCATAAGTCTCTGACCCTTGTTTCCTCCTCTATAAACGGAGGTTCCTGCTGTATATTCCTCGCCTCTTAGGGAGCATTTGAACACAATTACAGTATGAAGTGTTACGCAGCCATGGTTTTACTCAGGAGCTGCCTACCCTCCTGCTCTCTAGTTGGATCAATATGAAGTGTGCTGAGTAACCCTGGCAGTTTCGTCACAGGGTCCAAGGTTTGCTATTCCACCATGCTGCCGCCATTCCAGACCCAGTCAGATTGCTCAGTTTTATCCTGAAACCACTAGAAAGACATTTGTTCTTCACTCCATGGTTTACTCAATCTGAAAAAGGTTGCAACTTTCACTCTTCACTTTGGAATACTTTTTTTTCCTTCTCAACATTATAAAGTTTTAGTCACATCGTTGAATAACTGTCTGTTCTTTAAAGCTGTATTATTTCGAGTACTTCAGTGTACACCACTGAATTTGACTTAATTTTCTATCACGTTCTTGTTCAGGGCTTACGGCAGCCAGCTCCCTTTTCTGATGAAATTGAAGTTGACTTTAGTAAGCCCTACGTCAGGGTAACTATGGAAGAAGCCTGCAGAGGAACTCCTTGTAAGTAGCCACTTAGCTCTTTTGTTTGCTATAGTCTTTAGGATGCTATTCTGTCTCAATGTTCTGCTGCAGAGGATAACTTCACTCTATAAAATTGTAAATTTGTTCCTTGTTATGTGTTTGTTTCCTGGGTTATTGGCATAAGCTATCATGAAACAGAAAAACAAAACAAAACAAAAATCCAAACCACAACAAAACCCCACAACTGTTAGTCTGACGGCTGCGAATGTCCCTCGTTGGTAGGGTGCCTGCCGAGCACGTTCCAGTTGTTGGGTTTGATCTCCGTTGTGGCAGGAAAGAGAAGATGGACGTTAGCTGTAGCTGGGGTGTGGTCTTGTTTGTTTGTGTTTGTGGTGCATGGAAATCAAGCCTAGAGCCTTGCTTATGGTAGGCAAGTATTCTGTCTACTCTGCTGTCCTGCTGGTCCTGTGATTTTGTCTATTTTTACGAATACTCAAAAAATTAATGTATCAAACTGTCATATATTTTTCCTAGCCCCCAAATTTTCTCTATAATTCTTTTTCATAGTGTCAGTCAACTATGATGATATTGCTGATTGATAGAAGAAAAAAATATCCCATTGGGAGAGATTAATTTTATCTTTAATGATATAATTGTATGCCTTTTAATAGACTTGCTTTATTATTTTAAGCCTATTTTCTTTATTTATAGGTTTAATTTATATCATTAACTATTTTGGCTAAGTAATTTTTTTAGTGAACAATCATGTGCATGCATGTGTATACATGTGTGTGCATGTACATACTGAGGTGGGCGTGTGTGTGTGTGTGTGTGTATGTGTGTGTGTGTATGCATTCTGTGTATATGTGTGCATTCTGTGCATATGTGTGCATGTGTGCCACAGCACATGTGTGGAAGTCAGAGAAACTGGAGTGTGTTCCTTCCTTCTGCCTCCTCATGGGTTCTGGTGATCAAATTCCTGTCACCAGGCCTGTGTGACAAGTGCTTTTCCTTGTTGGGCTGTTTCATTGGCCCCCGACAGTTACTAATGTGCTCTGGAGACCCCTCTGCTGTGGACAGTTGGTTCTGGGGGTCACCATAAGTAGGAGTGCCCAGGTGTGTGGCAGCACACCTGTCACCTGGCTGGGAGGTGGGGGCAGGGAGGTCATTTCAGATCATCTTTGGCTACCACAGAGAATATCTGAGGCTAGCTGGAAGTTGAGACCCTGTCTCAAAAACCACCGCCCTGGCCTTAGACGACTCACCCGTTAACTCCAGCTCCAAAGGCTTGACACACTTTCTGGCCTCTGTGGGCACAGCATGAACAAGATACACAGACATATAGACAGGCAAAATACCCCCCCCACACACACACACAAAACAAGACAATAAAAAATCAAAATAAACCACCCACCCATACAAACGAACGAAACCCCTCATAACCATTTATTGTAAATACTGCCATACAGGCAGCCATCCTTTCTTTCTTGTCTATAAATCCCCCATTCTCTTTTCCCTGTTTTCTACTCCCTTTCAGTTCTGATAAGTGTTGTATCTACTCTGAAAGTACAGGGCTGAACTTAGCCCTAGGCGTGCGCAGAGAGAAGGAGGCCGTTACAGCCGCAGCACAACCTCACACAGACAGTGTGTTATGAATCTTACCCCTCATCCTTTTTCCTGGTTAGCCTGCGACTCACGGGGACCATCTGCCTCTGCCCCTCCACCCCTACCTACCTACCCCAGCACTGTACACTCACAGGGACCATCTGCCTCTGCCCCTCCACCCCTACCCCAGCACTGTATACTCACAGAGACCATCTGCCTCTGCCCCTCCACCCCTACC